CACAACGTCCCACAGCACATTCCAGTCGTGTATTGGGAACATCTCCCAATAATGCCTCATTATTTTCTTGTATTATCATAGGGAGATATCATCCCCAATACACGGCTGGGATGTGCTGTGGAACATTGTGGGGGCTGATTTGAACTCGACTTGCACCCTGGGCTGGGCACGGCCCGTGTTCACGGTAGTAACCATGATTGCAATGTGGGTTAAACAGGCTCTAAGGTCGAATCCATCCCACGCTTGCCTGGAACAGGGCAGGGCCCACCCAAACCCAACTCAAATTCATCAGATAAAGGCCAGGCTAGTGATCAATTTTAGGTCTCAATATGATGTTAGGCAATATAATAAATGATGAAACATATACAGAGTATTGCAATTATGAGAATAGGTTGGCCAATTGGGTTGGGTTGATTACTGAGCTTCCTTGTTATTACAAATGGCAGATTAGGCATTTGGCTGTTCGTAAGTACAGAATAGCCTCCATAAATAAAAGGTAAAAGGATTTTGTTCAGACTTGACGACTAACAATAACTAGAGAAGCTTCACATATTTGCCATACCACAACATATCCCTTGGACATGTCTGTTGAACCAGAGTAGTTATTTAAGAGAAGAAATTAACCTACTCATTTTATACAAGCACACAAGTTAACTTAAAATCCAAGTACTGATAACAACTGTAGACTTTTACCTATCTTTAGTGCAGAAGTGGGTACAAGTTTCATCTCATCAAGCAACTGATAGCACTGAAGGCTTGTGAGCCTGGCTTGACCTCAGGCCGCTACAAGGATTTTCCACTGCCAAACCATGTGCACCAAAACAGAAATAGTGGTTCATCTTCTTATTAGCTGATGTTTGCTTTTGGTTCACGTTCAGTGCTTCATTGTCAAAGGATTGGTTTGAGCAAGAGGGATCTGCACTTGCACTCCTAGAATGAGTGCCCCTTTTCCTATCCAATGAAGTAGGTGAAGACATTGATGATACTGAGAACGAACTCGAAGGTGATCGATCTGATCTGATTAAATGTGGCATGGCTTGAATGACACCATGCATTAGCCCTGCTGCAAACTTCTTCTTGGTAGATGGACTAGGAAGGTTACTTCTAACAGATAGAGTCCTTTTGTTGTTTGAAGGTGAAGATGGTTTTGAGAATCGCTGCCTGAGTGGAGTTGGAGTTTCCTCCAAACTGCCCCAGTTTTTGTAGGATTCGTTCGAGTCATCACCTCCCAGTTTATTGATCTCTTCGGGTTTCTTCTCTTTCCGGCCACGCCATCGGAGTAGAATCTTGAGACGGTTCTTTGCATAATTTACTGAGCCTAGCTTTTTACTATCTAAAGAGCTACGATTTGCATCAGCTGAATCAAGGTCACTTGAGCATGCCCCACTGATCTGATCACCAGCACCATCCAATGCATTCCCAATACCTGTGTACAAGAATATCTCTGCATCTGTGATTCTAAAAGAAGTTCCAGGACTGCTTCCAATACCTTGCATTTTTAGGTGAGAAACAATGGCACTTCTCGCCATACAATCTTGACAATTGGAGATCCCACCAGCTGAAATCAACTGCCTGATTAATATTTCTGATGAAGCAGATCGTGGCCTCTGGCTGAGTAGATCCAGTGGGGTCATACCATCTACGTCGCGGATGTTTAGATTAATCCATGGTGCTGTCATTAGTAGTTCTACAAGATTAGAGTGGATATTCCCAAGAACAGCCATATGAAGAGCTGTTCTTCCATCGTTGTTTCTGATGTTGATGACATCTTGCATGTTTACAATCTTTCCACAAATTAATTCCTTCATGAGATTAATTTGTCGATCCAATCTTCGGAAACCAGGGGTTCTGAAACCAGCTACAGCCATATGGAGGAAAGTATCTCCCCCATTGTTTGTTAAAGAAATGGAAGAAGGGGATGCAATAATTAGAGCCTCTACCACAGGCAAGTGACCCCTGTAAGCAGCCACATGCAATGCTGTATTTCCTTGATTGTCTGTGGAGGTAATCATATCAAAAGATGCCACTAGATCCTTCACTACCTGCACTTAAGGAATAAAAACAGTTCACTAACAACAGAAATGATTATAAAAACCATGTTGAACAAAAAACATGAATTGTGATCATTAAAATAGCGCCTTAAATCAGTAAGCAATGAAATTCCTATAAATCAGCACATTTGGATTTGTCCCTACAAAGAAGCATCTTTTATCTTGGCACCATACTGTCATGTGACCTGCATGTTTCAACTCTGTTTTTCTGTGTTTTTCTTCCTTTCTTCCTCTTAGATACTAATGCTTGAATTTATTAAGTTACAGAGAAAATCATCTACCAACTAAAAACATGTTACTGGGAATGATTTAACAGGGAAAACAGCTCTCAGAACTCTTGTTCCAAGGCTGGTGGCTGTGTGTCTCAAAATGCCTTCAAAATGAGAATATATCATGAAATTGGTCCAAAATGTTCACCAATGCCAATTACAATTCTTACTTAATACAAAATCCTGTCCCTATGTAAATAAACAGCCTCAGGCATGTGGTACAATACATGCATGGCAAAGCCCAATGAATCAGAAAGAGTTTCCTTTATAGCTGTATCATATTTTGCTGGATGCTTGCCAAGATCAAGCCCTGATTTCCATCTATTACAAGATCGTGAAGAAATCAATCAGCCCATTATCTGGAAAGCTCTCATTTCTCATCACTTAAATGAGCACAATAACATTGTTGCTAGCATGAATTCCAAAGTATTTCCCTAATATGGATGAACCATCATTCTGATACAATAGCACAACAGGAAAAACAATTATGATGATGCAGTGGGTGCCTTTTACAAATTCAAGATTTGTAAAACAGTTTAAGTGCTTCAAAAGTTTAAATTCAGTCAACGACTAAGCTAATGATCACTGTAGTTTCACATGCAGAATTGCAGATAATATAGACAAGATATCCAAAATAAAAGGCCATGATCTACAGATCCATTGCTGTAAAAAAATGTTACAGTAGCACATGAATAACAACCCAGAATCTTATTTCTTACAAACATCAAATAAGGGTTCCTTAATTGAGCTGACATTTACAGATTTTATGGATTATGGATTGCTTAACCATAACACTCAAAAAGGAAAATAAGTTCAATACTTCCCAGATGGACATTAGAGTAGAAGCCTCACCTCAACCTGTCCCCTGCCAGCTGCTGCATGCAAGACAGTAGAGCCCTGAACATCCCTGTAAGCCAAGATATCAATGCAGCCCGCGAGAAGCTCCCTCAGAATATCCAAATTCCCTCCTCTGGCCGCAGCATGAACAGCCCTGTTCACCATTTCTGACCTAAAAACTGGAGACGGCCCAGCTGTTTGCTCTTCCGAAGCTCCACCATTGCTCATCAGAGACCTAGGTGAGACTGAGAAATCAAATAGGAGCCTGAAAACCTCAGAATTCTTGCTCCTAGCAGCAGCATAAAATATATCGGTGACGCCATATTCTCCTTCCCCGAAAACAAGGAGAGGATCTCTCTTGAGCAGTTCCTGAACAAAAACCACATCCCCAGCCGAAGAAGCGGTGTATAAAAGCCATCCACCGTAGCCAGCTCGTATGAGAGAGTTGGTACCCCTTTTATTTTCACATTCAAGGAAAAGCTTCCAGGCAACTTGAGAACGGCATTTGGCGACGTCTTTGAACTGAGCCTCGTCGTCCCATACAGTCTCAAGCCGACGAATTCGCCTGAGGGAGGTGAGCTTGATGAGAAGGTTGGTGTCAAGGTGCAGGAGCTCCCTGACAAGGTCGTAGTGGCCATTGGCAGCAGCCCAGTCTATAGGTGATGCGTACCACCACTGGTCTCCGGTACTCTCCCAGCGAAGAGGAAAGTAGGACGGAGGCATTTTGAGAAGAAAAAAAAAATCGAGCTTTTGGTTCAGTGGAGGAAATTACAGGGGAAATACGGGCTTAAAAGAAGAAAATACAGAAAACCCAAAATTCAATAATGCAACTACAGAGACGAAAATAAATACGGTAAAAGTAAAGCAAGTGCGGGTATAAGCAGACAAAGTAATGCTTTAGAAGCGAAAAAGGGAAGGTTGAGCTGTTGAAGGAATCAACACCCAAATACAACAGAGTTCAGCTAAAGAGAAAACGGAGAAGAAACACAGAACCACTTAACCAAACAAAGAAATCCAGTAAAAAAATCTCTTCAACCTGCAAGGAAACCAGTTAGAACTTAGAACTCAATGAAAGCAAATGAAGAGGAAACAGATACCAACATGGGCAAATCAAGAACAGGTCAAGAACGCAAAGGAACACCACACTCGCCGGAAAAACAGAGGCATAGAAGGAGCAAGAGCAAACAGCGAAGCAATATCTGCCATTATTACTGCAAGGGAGCAAAACCCAGAGAACAGGTGTAAGTGTGTAACCCCTTTATAAGAGGAGGTTAGAACCTAGGAGTGGAGTGAAAGATTAAAGCTTGAAGGCCTAACTTTAACTGTACTCAAAAGACTGAATAAGCCAATGAGTTGGAGACTTGGGGCGCCTTATGGATTATGGTAGAGGGTAGAGGAAAAAAAATACTGAAACGTGGAATTATAAACCAAAAATATTAGTAAAATAGAAAAAGAAAAGGTGAGATTCCCTTTGGTCCGTGAGAGTGCAGGAGAGAGACGTACAGGTAATGAATGGATATATCTGGGTGGTATGCCTGTGCATGATGTGCGGGCAGAGTGATGGATGTTTTAAGAATTGCGGGTTGGGTGTCGGAGTAATTATGGAGGTGGCGAGCACAAGTACATTCTCTTGGATTTTTTATCGAACACTTGTTGCTTCCGAGTCCAAGGTTGGCTTCTAGCGTTCAGATACGTTTCTTATGAGTTGTTCGGATTCATCGTTTGGGAGGACTCTTTTGTTCACAGTTTTATTATACTGTTCCCTCTGGCCTAGACCTAGACCCTCCCCTTCAATGGCCCGGGCAGCCTATTTTCACTCTGGGAAACCTACACACAATGCGGGCCTGAACCGGGCCATGCAAGTCTTTGGCCTAGCCAGTCCAGACCGGCCCAGAATTGCATTAAATTTCTAGCCAGCCAAATTGATATCAGCATAAATTATTCCTAAAAGTGTTTTACCAAATTAGAGGTGTAAAGTGGGCCGCCCGGCATCGTGGGTGGCCTGTGCAAAGTGCGGGCCGTGCCATACTGGCCCATGGGTCGTTACGGGTTGTGCCGTCTTTCCTGGTGAAAAATTTAGGGGTCGATTTGGCATGGTCCATGGCCGAGGCCCGTGCCGTGCTGCGGGTCGGGCTGACTCGTGGGTCGAGCCTTAAGCCAGGTTGGGTCGTGTATCGGGTCAAAGCTGTTTATTTAAAAAGTTGACAAAAAATTTAAAGTTTTAATTTTATATGAATTTTGTGTATAAAATTGCTTATATATACAATAATTAAATAAATTAGTATAATAAAGTAAAATAAATATTTATTTTATTAATATATTATATACTATATATTATTATATAATTATAATTTATATTATTATATAATTATAATTTATATAATATAATATAAATATATATAAATAATATATATGGGCTCGCAATACGACCCACTCGGTCGTGCCGTGTCGTGCCCATGGACCTAAAACCCCAGGCTCAGCACGGCTCGCATGATCGTGCCGAGCCTAGCCTAGCAGGACCCATGGACCGTTGTGTCAGGCCATGCCGAGCCAGTCCAAGTTTGTGTCGGGCCGTGTTGCCCACGGCCCGATTTACACCTCTATACCAAATATATGTGTATATAAATATTATGTATGCCATATGTATGTATATAGTATATATAATATATAATATAAAAATATTTTATTAAACCAAATCAAGATACATAAAAGTTCGAATTCAGCTCAATTCAATTGTAATCCTAACCATTTAGGGGGTGTTCTCTTTTTAAATTTTGAGAGGGAGATTATTTTTCTGGGTATCACTGTAAATAACTTTTCATGTTAGAGAAAAAGTTATTAATACTTGAATAAAACAAAAATACCATTTTTAATAATAGATTATTGTGAATAAAACGATTATTACCTTATTTTCGTTGGAAATAAAAAAAAAAATAGATAAATGCAGCTACCCGAATAAATGTTTTAAAAAAAAAACATACCCATGTAATTAATTACATTTATCAGGATAAATAACTTACCGAAAAACGAACCAACCTTAATACCATGTAAAAATCTAGCCCGACCCGACTGTTGCCATGGTCATCCCTATGGGATTATTATGAGTTAGAGGATTGCCACCCCGTCAACCAATCAGTTACTGGAAGGTGTCAGCATTCTGACATGATCCGAGTGGTTCTAGTTGGCCAGCCCAGGTTTACTTTTTCAAGCATACAGAACCTTGAAACTCGCACCATTTTCCGTGACCGGCCAGTTCAGTTACTTCACTTTAACCCGTTTTTCTGGTTTAATCTTGTTCTACACGTATTTTGACCTTAAAGTAAAAATGTGAAATTTAATTTTTCTCTTCTAGGTAGACCCGCCCAACTCGTGAATCGTGACCCAGAGGGAAAAAATGAGTTGACGCCCATTGGTTGGACAAAATAAAGTGGTGAGTGGTTAAGCAGACAACCCACGAGAGAGAGAGAGAGAGAGAGTAGAGAGCGGAGAGTGGAGAGTGGAGACTAGACTCCTCTTTATCCATCTTCTTCTTGTTGCCTTAACTTGATAAAAAAGATGATGGAAGGGAAGGAGGGGAGCCATAGCATCTTTGCCTTCTTTCTGGACAGCTTTTACTTTATTATTAATAATAGTTACTATCAACTTTAAGAATTAGGCATTATCACGTGTTCATGGGAATCAGAGCAAAAGTCTTCATTTGGGAAGCATCCTTCACCCTCACACTGACCACCACCACCATTATCTCCATTATATTGTTATCACTCTCCTTTTCAAATTAGATAGGACTATTAAAAGATAATCAGATCGGACATCAGGTTGATGGGTTAGAAGTTGATCCGAGGTTGAATCAGATCGGTTCTATGAAATCAGAACCAGTTTTCCAATTAGCCGGTCAATCGATTTTTTATGACTTCTGACTTTAGATGTACGAGTATGACCAAACTGGCCAAGGGCCTGGTCATAGTTCAATTGCTCCAACTGGTTAATCCGGTCTGGTTTTTTAAACATTGTTAGAAAGATTGAATCCAAACTTATATACAAAATAAATACATAACCAGAGAGAAGGAGGAGAATCAAGCTGGCCCCAAGAAAATAGCTTTGCTCTACATCCCATGAAATGAATAAAATGAAGAAGAAAAGATATGGGTGCAACTTGAGGACCTACCTAACTTGGCCTAATCTTAAAAGGTGCAAACCTCGGGTTTAGGCTGGGTTAGGCTGCTTGTAGTCTCCATAGGGGTGGATTTGGACCGAGCTGAACCAAATATTTAGTTATTCGAGTTTGATATGTAGGAATAGTATCAGATTCGAGCTCGATTCGAGTTAGAGACTTGAGCTCGATTCATAGCTGGCAAGTTCAAACTCGACTACAAGCCAAGTTTTTTTTTTGAAAAGTAAAAATTATATGTATGAAATTATTATTTTTTATTTTTTAGACAAAGAATAAGAATTATAAAAATTATTTACTGTTATACATAAAAAAATATTAATAAAAATACTATATATATTTATGTATGTATATAATAAAAATTATTTATTTAATACTAAACTCACGCGCCTCACGAGCTGAGTTTCATTGGGCTTAAACTTGGCTCGATTAACAAATAAGCCTATATATCATACTCGAATTCAGCTCGATGCTTGGTTTAAACTGAGCCAAGATGAACTCAAATAACTCATGAAAGACTTGGCTCGTGGCCACCCCTAACCTCCACCCGAGTTTAAGTTAGGCCTATATTTCGGCCAAGCCTAGTTAAAAACTCAGGCCCAATTCATGCATAACCTTGCGTTAGGCCCGCCCAAATTACAGACCTAATAAAAGAGTGAGGGAGAGGCAATGGAGTACTAATGGTCCTACTTAACCATATTTACCAATTTGGAAAAATAAAAAAAGGAGATAGGAACTAGTTTATGTAATCTTCTTTTGTTTTCAAAGAAAATATCAAATTGCACGGTATGGTCTATTCCTTTTATGAAAAACATGGTTCGAAGTCCCAACAACATCTCCATTTGTGCTGCATATACCCCACTCCACCCAACAGCTTTATAGGCAGAATGCAACTCTAAAAGAGAGGCCATGTGAAGAACAGCTTTTGGGCTTTTCAGGACTGCAATCAAAGAGCCCTGCATAGCAGGTGGGATGCATAGACCAGATTGTAATAATTCATGTATGGTCGAGTTTCAGTTGTCCACTACTTTTTCACTTTCTTGCTCTCCTCTCTTTTTCCTCCTTCCTTCCACCATCCTTTCTCCCTCTGGGTTTCCATCTCATTTCAATGGAATGGACCTCTCTTGAAAAGCCTTTCTTGCTATAAAGGAGAACATGGCATCATCCCTTCCTTGTACTAGACTTCTCAGTCTCAATCCATAGTAATAATGGATTACAGCAAGTGGTATGAGATGGGCTTCTGCGTTATCAAATAGCCATCTCTCTCTCTCTCTCTCTCTCAAAAGAAAAGAGAAAGAGAAAATACCCACTTGCCTAATTGGTAGCTCATCATCCAAGTGGGAGGCCATTTGATTTGTGGACCATGATTAGTAGTAGTTAGAACTTTGAATTCTAACCGGCTAGATATGACCGTTGGATTAATTATCTTCTCCCCTTGCTCCAAAAGATGTGATTAATTGGAGGGCAATGATTGAATCCAATCAAAACTCTTTTTGGTTAGAGTTGGTCCAAGTAATGGGATATCTCTGCTTTAGAAGAAAATTGAGTTAATGGAGTTTTCTTGGAGAATTTCTCAAAAAAGACCCAACAAAATTGTAAAGCAAACAATGGACTGAGGCCCATCTCGCACTGGGATGGATTTTTGGGTTCTTTTCTCTAATCCAGAAGCCAATAAACATGGCCATTATTTTCTAAAAGGCCCACGTTCCTGTGTGGGCCTTCCTTTGGGCACTACCACTCCAGTCCTCCAAATCTCTGAGCCCACTATAGGAATATATAATCGATCATCTGCCAGCCTACATGGCAGTATCATTGTTGTTGTACGTCCAGCGTGGTTGCCAGCTGTCTGGGTGTGACATGGTCATCATCACATTAATTTAAAAATCAAAATAAATTCATTCGCTATTGCCTACATTAAATAAGGGTCTTGGTGGTGAAACTGGGCTGGGCAGCCTAATTAGAACAAAGAATCCATCAAAAGTCTGACTTGGAGCGGACCAAATAGACCAAGAACCCAACGGCCTGGGAATGGACCTACGAGTTAAAACTCTGTTCGTTTGCAGTGCAATAATATTAATGCATGAGAGAGCAAACGAGAAGAATGCAAATTTTGATTCACTTTTGTTTCGAAATTTTACTTTAGCTCAGTTTGGAAGGAGTACAAATATAAACATGTACAGTGCAAATACATATAAAATAATACAAAATACAAGGTTTTACAC